TCAACTACCTCCAGCTCAATCCACCCATTTGCGATATATATATATATATATATATATATATATATATATATGTATATAAAGGCTACATAATAGGATTTATTAATGTGGAATGACGATATCAACCCCGTTCCATGATACAATGTGCACGACGAGCTTGTAGCGCTGGGTGTCTCAGCGGAAAAGCGTCGTGATCGCATTGAGGAAAGTTCGTGGTGGACAATTTCTTCTTGAGGCAGCCGGCAATCCCATAATAGGCCGAGAGACTCACGAGAGCGACTCTTGCTTTCCATCGATCTCTTTACTCTCCAACACAGTCTTTCATCCCCGGCAGCATAGACACGATGTAAAAATGACGAGCTTATGATGAAGGCTGATGGGGGATGGTGGGTAAAGGGAAGAAGAGCGCTTAAGCTCGCGGCTCACGTTTTCATAAGAAATGCCCGTCGGTGCATGTAGACCCATCATAGGTCGGGACTTATGGCGGTGTAAGGCTCGCGCGAGCAAAAAGTCAAGAGGCGAGGCGCGGCCCATATAAAGCCGAGGCGAGGCGCGGCGAGCGACCGCAAATCTATTGATTGAATTTATTCTATAAATGGGCCGATTATGTCGGCAAGACAGGGATATTGGAGAGCCTCCGGAGAAAGAAGGGGCACGCGGCGCTGCTTAATGAAGACGTGATTGGTAATGTCACGGCGATTTGGTGGGTTAGGAGGGTGGGAGGGAGAGAAGGGCGATTTTCAATCGAGAGACACTCGAGAGTAAACACACGAGGCCGTACTTTCTATAATTTATGCCACATTCGCGTCCCACGACTTTTTCAATTGGCTAATTGGCTCAAATCGACAGCCCTGCAAAAAGGCTCCTCTAATGCATTATTATCGATAATTTACACCTCCGACGCTTCTTACGCGAAGAGAATGACGCTTCGCTGTCGCTCGTAAATCATCGGCTCATTTCGCGACCAACGACGTAATTTAATAGGCCGAGCCGTCGCGGATACACCCGCAGCTCGGCTCCTTGGCTCGATTAACGGGAGAGAATTTCGCGCATCATTACGCGAGACAATAAGCGTCTCGATATCGATCGAGTTTTATTCCCGCGGGCAAAGCTCGATCTCCTTTGCTCACTCGATCAATTGCGATTTAATAACGATGGCGATCATCTTTATTCTCTCTTTTAATTAGTCGTCGTTCCGCGCGTGAAAGAACTCTGCAATTACTCAAACACTCCACCCAAGAACGTCGATCTCCCCGCCACGTTACATGCATAGACAATTCGCCGTATTAAGTTTCGTTCAGTCCTCACTCGTAAAAAGCTCTTGTTCATCGAGTAACGATGATTCCTTCGGAATTACCGAAGGTTCGCGAGCACAGACACTGGGACAGGACCGTCTCCTGAAACCACTCAGTCACTCTTAGACGGCACAACATTGGCTCACGCGAACTTTTCCTCTCAGGACTCGAAGAGTACGGTCGTCGCGCCGTCGGATGCCCGCCTACCCCGGGCGAATCACAAGGGCCGGAAGAGCTCACGCTAGTCTACTACCTCTTAGCGGTAAAATTATTACAGAGCTGGTCAGGCTGCGTGTAACATCGGGCGCGGAACGTGTCTCGGACGCAATCTGCCGCGAGTCTCGGATTTTTTGTTAAGGTAGAATAGCAATCGGCGCCGGATAAAGTTAGTGGCAAAGAGTGGCGTTTCCCCGCCTCTCCTTCGTTATCCCAAAAATGTCGGGAATTGGAGAGACGGAGACTCCATCGAGTTGGAGTCGATGCGACCGGTTGTGGCGAGTAGAGCGAGCGCAAGGTCAGTGACAGTTGAGGACGCTATTTCCAGCGTCATAGGGCGAACAATAAGTGGGGAATGATATGCACCAATGGTGTGGTAATGTAGAGGCGGGGCCATAATTTCGTTAATATTCCAGTAATTTTTCGGGAATTAATTAGTGGCAGGAAGCGCGGGTGTAGATAGCCTAATCCGGAAATAATCGTTTAATGCGAAAGCGGTAAGTTGGAGAATACGAGGTATTGGCCGGCCGTTACTACGCACATCCGCGTACAATCTTGTGATCTTAAAATAGTGCCGGCGGTATGTGTATGTGCGACGCCAAGGTGCACATTACAGATCGTCGATGGGTATCTCCTCTCCTCGCGCCTCCACTTGCGCTTGTACGCGCACTAGACGGTCCTCGACTGGCGTATCAAGTCAAATGAATTTCTTAATTAATATCAAAGGATGTGGGCCAAATTTTCATTATCTCCAACTAGCGCGCACATCAAAGCTCTTGAGCTGACAAATCGCTGCCCAACTATCGGCCGATTATAAATCATCATACGTGTGTAGCCTCGTACATTGGGCTGTGCACGGACGTTAATTGTTCGCTCTGACAAAACGAGCAAGGCCTTACTGTTGTTGATGATGCGTAGTGGCTCTTGTCGAGCGATCAATCGACTCCTGTCAGGATATATGCGCAGAGCAAAGAACGAGATTATAAAGGAAGGATATATGATAGCCCATTACCGAGTCGGTGATTACATTTTGAAGGATATTTATTGGAAAATAAAACATCGGTTGAAAGTCGTTATTAACCATCCTATTCTTTCTTAAAGCTAATCCATTGTGTATTAATTTATAGTACTTTAATCGGCGATTTGACGATTTATAAAATATTCTGATAGCAGGAGAGCTTAACTTCCATTTTGGATATGAAAAGCAAATATTCGTGGCACGACATTTTTATTCTCCGCTTTCGACAATTGTATTAAAGTAAAATAATCGTCGTCATCATTTTATACGTCTATCGAACTTTCCAAATAAATGAGAGATTCAATAATGATAACGTACAGATGATAATATGTATTAGTTAAACGAGTGCAATATAAAAATAATTGAGTTTCGATTAAATCGATCGATGTACTGCCAACACTCTGTGGCAAAAATTTCTTGAATGAGCAATCTCAATAAACCACTATTATCAATATGGTTATCTGAGATATACGAAATCGCGCTTATTTCGTCAGCCTATTCTTTGTTCCGCTAACCCCCCCCCCTCCAAAATCCTTCTCCATCTGTGTATCTCTCTCTCTCTCTCTCTCTCTCTCTCCCTCCATTTCTCTCTCCTTTTCTCCTCTTAACTACTCACCGTAAGTGGCCATATGTGAACACACAAATCACATAATGGGCGAAAGCCTTTGGTGGGGGGTCGCGCATACACTGCAGAAAAAATCACTGAGCTCCCAATATCATGTGGACGAGATCTAAAAGAGCCGCAGGGGGGATGCCCTCGCCAAAGGTCCATTATCGGCTTGCAAAACATACATCTGGAGGCGTGTTGTTCGGAACCCTACTCTTTTTTTTAAGCCCCCCGTGCTCTCTCTCTCTCTCTCTCTCTCTCTATCTCTATCTCTCTCTCTCTATCTATCTATCTATCTATCTATCTATCTATCTCTCTTTCGTGTATTTGCCCGTCTGCCATTCGCACCAACATCGGACCAATTGTCCCCGTGATCATTTTGCTAATTGTTGCACGTGTGGCGCAAATTCTAATCGCTAAATAATAATCACGAGAGATACCTTAATTGCCGTTCGACAAAATTATTCTCTCTCGCATCAATTGTTTTCATTATTATTCTAATTATTTGTTCGATAGAGAATTCAGCAGTTTGACAAATAGTAATCAATGACAATGGCAACAAGAATGATGTTAAACTACGTAATACTAAACTTTACCAACGAATTTTTGGTTCAAATGTTTAAAATGATAATATTAACGTGCACTTGACGATCAATTCAATCTTAATTACATTGCAATGTGGACGCGGCTGCTCTGTATTTTGTATGATCAGATGAAATGTAAGCGAGCACGTCTAAGTAGAGTGGCTGACTTTTTTATTCAAAATAACGAAAGATCTTTTCGTCCGAGAAAGAAATAGCAAGATGCAGAGAGAGACAGAGAGAGAGAGAGAGAGACAGACAGAGATAGAGACAGAGATAGAGATAGAGATAGATACCGAGATAGAGAGATAGAGAGAGCAAGGGATGTAGTGGAGTGAGTGAGTGAGGAGGTTCTGAGCGAGAAAGACAGATATTTGCCAGTTGCGATTTTAACTGTCCGCCAGTCACTTTGCCACTTGGCATCTCGCACACAAACGCACACAAGTAGGCATATACGCAATGTAACCCTTCGCTACGTCTCTGAATGGCGGCGTCACCAGCTCGTCCGTAAATCTCTATCGAAGATAGAAGCCCCGACGACAACCGGTCCTTAAACGCATTGTTGGACAATGGGTCGTTTTTGTCGCGAGCGGAGGCTGCCCACCTTATCGTCATCCTTTATATAAAGACCTGCTGCGACTTCTCTCTCTCTCTCTCTCTCTCTCTCTCTCTCTCTCTCCGCAATCGTCCCCCCTGCTCTCTTATTCTCTCTCAGCCGTCGATTAATGTACCAAGAGGAAGGGTGGAGCGTTTCGTTATGTATGCAATGCGATGCAGCCCCTGAAGAGCCGAGGGACGCGAATCCATATGGGCCCCGGGAGCAGCCGATTAGAGAAGGGACATTATTTTATCGAGTGTATGACATATTTCACGAGTGCCGGGCGCATGAATTATTTATCATTATCTACGCAGTGGAATTCGATTTTATTCCATTGGTCGGATGCTTGTATTATTGGGATTTTCTTTTTGAAGCTCCCTTACTCGTATGTAATTGGCGGGACCTATCGACTCGCTTCTTCCGAATTTCGATAATTTTCATTTACTCATGCTGTACTTTTATCAACCTTTATGACACGTAATTCCAAAGACTCGTTTTACGTTAAAATTGATAGCGACACTGGGAGAGTCGATGCTTATAGAAGCTATCGAGGCAGACGGTAAGAGCCGAGAGATATTTTCATTATGGTAAAAGTTTCATGCAATGTCTAACAAGGAGATAAAAGCATCAGCTTATCAGCTTAACAAAAGTACAGCATGGCCACGTGAATATTACAAGAGAAGCTCACCTCTGTCGACAATTTTGCCAAAGAGATTCTTGCCCCTGAGGAAGTTTTTCGTGGAACAGTTCCACCTCCTGTTGCGAAACTGATGCTGGCACTCGGTGATGGCCTGATTGGCGCCTCTCGCCACAGCCATTAAGACGCCGGGATTCTCTCTTGCTAACCTGCGCTGCTTTCGCCTTAGTGTCGCGTAGACCGTCGGGTCCATGTGCAAAGAGGTCGGCGACATTGGCAGCAGATTGTTCGGCTCGCCTGCCTTCGCGATGCCCCTATAATATGAAAATTATCGTGATTAATAGGAAGCCTTGGGTCATTGCACCGACACACCCACTTAATAACGAATAGCGTGATAAAAAGATGCGACTTAACGCCGAGAGGCTGTCATCGGGTATACAAAAGTGCATTGTGACAAGAGAGATTGGTAAATCAGTAGCTTTTAACGTATTCGCGGCTCGCATTTTGAAAGGCGAATGCTCGAGCATTATTAATAGTATGTGGCTGATCAAATTCGAAAGCTGGTCTCATTTTCTCGGTCCTAGTTTCCCGTCAAACACGACCTTCTCCAATAAATTTCCCGTCCCGTTTGCGGAAGTAGCGGCGCATTTCCCGATAAAGCGTTAGGGGAAAAGTGGCGCTCTAAGTGTCTGAAAAAGTATACAGGCGAAGAGGCGTCGGCTAAAATTGACGCGGGCCAACTGCAGCCACTTGAGCAACGGTGCGCGTACTTTCTCCTTGGGGGGGGGGCGGGGG